CAGCAGGGGTGGGTAGACAGAGGAGTCGTTGGTAGAGAGGCAGATAAAATGGAAAGTTGGTAAAAGTGCAGATTTTAATAAAAATCGTGACTATAGGTAGGAGAGGTTCAACTGGTTTATGGAAATATCAGAATTTTTTTTCGAATATCGTTTATGTTTTTTTTATATTTTTTTATTGGGAGTTGGTATAAAAATAGTATAATAGGTGGATCAGTTAAAGATGGGGCAATCAAAAAGTGTCGAGATATTTCGAGATATAGATAATGGAAAGTTGAGGATTTTTTGAAAACGTACATTTTCTACGTTATATTTTCCTTTGGAGATTAGTATCGTAATAATAATCTAATTGGAACAGGATATAGTAGCAGGAAGAAATGTACCTGGAATGTAAAGGAAACGTGAGTGACAAGGTGACTATTAAGGAAGAAATTCAGTTGCTTTATGGGAAGTTGAAAATTATTCGAGAATATTTTTTCCACACGATATTTTCCTTTGGAAACATTATAATTGCTATGGAAACATTATGAAAATTGGAAAAGTGCATAATGTCCGAGGGAGATGAACACAGGATGTAAAGATAACAGGAACATCAACTTACATGTAAACATCATGATCATGGAAGGGAGAGTATAGTAAATTTATGAAAAATCGTGGATTCTTTTGGAAAATATTTTTTTTGCATTACATTTCCTTTGAGAAATTGCTATGGAGACGACACGGAGAGTGAAAAAGTGTATAGCAGCACAAGGAGACGAAGGCAGGATGTAAAAATAGCAGGAGTGTCAAGGTACAGGTAAATATCATGGTCGCAGGAAGACGAGGTTTAGCAATTTTATGGAAAGTCGAAGACTTTAAACTGCAATGGAAGAAATATAACGAGATCTTAGATTAAAGATGGATGCACTAGTACCCAGGTTCGTATGCAGGACTCTACGATTATCACTAGGGACGAACCGTCTTTCACTGAAATTTACGTCAACTCGAGCGTCGAGGAGCTTGAACACGTAAACTCCGATGCCTGACCGATTTTACGACTACACTATTTGAGTTATCGACTATACTTCAGTTCCAATTCCGTTCTAAGTCACGTTGGTTGGGCGGAAAGTCTCAGCAGCCTCTATTCAAACCTTAGACTAGTGCTGGTCAAACTTCTCTCGCGAGAAGACCCTGCTTCCCCCACTCCTCTATATCGTTTTTCATTTGAAACGCACATTGATGAAGCTTGGACATTTTTAACTCGGATAGAAACAGAATAAAATCTTGAGATTTATTAATCACTTCGTAATTTTATCTTCTTGTAAAAGAAAAAAGTTTCCAGAAAAATTTGGGAAATAAATTAAATAAGAAACTCTATTTCTAGGTTAGAATATTTTCCAACGACGATAAGACACGATTAGCGTTGAATATTAATATATTATTAAATTAAATTTCATGATTAACATTAAAAATTTACCAATTTTGTTCCTTATAAAGATTTTCTTCTGAAATTTCGTTAACTGGTTACAAATTTATAGGTTAAATACCGTTTACACGTTGCTACTGCACATTGGTTCAGCGCATGGCCACTTGAGGGCGGTAGTGTAGCTTGATTTACGAAAACGTTCGAACGAGCACGGAATATCGGTAGAAAATGAATTAATGGGTGGATAGAAACGTCGTTAGAATTTTTCTGACAGCATGGTTAGCAGTTTCAATTCTGATGCGTCGATGATACGTGCGTAGGATGTGCGAAAGCATGATTATTACTGTGTTTATGTAATTAATGTGTAATTTATCTCTGTTCCTCGGGGCTGTTTGCACGTACTGGTTACGTCATGCTCGTTGTTAATTAGCCGTGTTCACGAGGAATCATTTTATCGGTCTGCATGAAATCGAACGTCACTTTTGCGCGAGTATGCGATACTATCCGTATTTGTTTTATCGTCCCATGGGTGTAGTTTTCGTATGATATTTATTACTTTGGAACAGTTGAAATTAATGATAAAATTACATAGAAGTCTGCACGAAAGAATATTTTTAACTATCTTCGGTATTTATATATTTTTATTTTCATTTATACGGATATGGGAAATACTCGTATTAAATATTTAAAAAATATATTCTAATTAAATACGAAGTCTGCTAAATTACGTAATATAAAAAGGTCGGTAATTGACGGGTTAATCAACATGTTTACCGCCGCGATAATCATGATGGTGATGGATGTGTTAAGATCGTGCAATATTGTAATTATTTACGTAAACAAGATTGCGATTATATTTAATAATAAGAGCGTGATCATAATAAAGCGCGAAATACATCACGTTTATACTTTACGCTGTTTGATGCCATAAATTCAGTCGCGTATCTCATTGTCGTTTCCAAGCGAAACTCAATTTGTGAAAATGCGAATGAAGAGTCAGCTGAAATACGACCCGAAAGCGAACGAAGCGAAACCGAATTACACGGTAAAAAGTTTATTTCTGTACACGTTCGAATACTTCCGTAGCTCTTAAAAATCTTCTCTTTCTACTCCTCGAAAATATCTCGTGAAATAACGCATCGTGTCTTCTTAAATCCATTTTAATTACGACTGGGGTCTTCAACAATCTTCATTAACACGTAAATCAGAAATACCTACTGGCTCGAAGTAAGTTATTTTAGAAAATTCTTGGTCACGTTAAGGAGACATACTCATTACAGAAATATCGTTTCCATCGTAATTTTACATTTATGCTTTCTGTATTAAAAAAATATACAAAAAAAAATAATGATATTACATGGGAGTATATTTAATATAGAGTATAATACCTATAGTGTCAATGAAAGAATGGGGGAGGGGTGGGGGAAGCAGAATTCTAAATTAGCAGTAATTAAAAATTGTTGAAATTATTATCGCGACAAAAAATAAAAGACACGAAAAAGATTCAATACACATTAGAATCCTCCACCTAAGTATTCACAAGGGAGAGAAAAAAGTCTCAAAAGATTCTCACCCTAGTTTCCAATCCAAACCTCTCCTTAACTTCGATACCCAACGTTATCTCGAGAACCTTCGTCCGGGGAGCACACGTGTTTCTTGTATTCCAAGCGTTCGAATACTTTCATGTACCGTCCTTTGTGAGCTCGTTCCACTTTTCGAGCGGTTCGTTCGTGAAACTTATCTCTTCCGGCGCGTGCAAACCGCCGCTCTAATCTCCCTCTTTCATCCACCCGTTTCCCTCTGTCCGCTGCCACCGCGGGCAATTCTCGTGGAAATCAGGAGCAATTGTTTTTTCTCCCCACCCCTCGTCCGTTCCCGCCTCCCGGGCCCGTTGTTTTTCCACGACGACGAGGCCGTCGGAAAACGCCTTTGTCGGCGCGGGGAATTAAGGAGACGAGGCTTTTTAGAGATTTACGCGCTCGTCAGACGGTGTAAATCGAGCCTCGCAGTTCGCGAGATTAGTTCACCGCGGCTTACGAGTGTTTGCGCGCGCATTACAGGATGAACCGTGAGCCGCCAGAGGGCTGCAGTGGCACAATCGCGCGAGAAATTAGCGAAACTGTCGCGCACGGTGAAGGCTGTTTGTCATTCAGGGTTGCGATAATTGAGCTATTATATAGAAGAAATTTTTGTATGGATTCGGGTGAAAGAAAGGTTCATGTGAGTCGGAGATTAACTGGTCGACTATTACAGTGATCACTATTTGAAATTATTTATACTACATGCTAGTAATTCTGATGTTTGGTGTTGGAGGTTATGTGGCCGACTGTCGTAATCGCTATTCGAAATCGGAAATGTGGCGAAGAATGTGGCAGAAAATGGTGTAAGAGAAAGTCCATGGCAGAGGAATATGTTTTAGGATTATGATTCACGATATTACAAAATGCAACAGAATATTGGCAATTATTCAATACAAACGAAGCCAGTTAAGAAAAATCGAAGGACATGGGTAAAAAAAGATTCTATGTAGAATTGACGACTGTATTATTTATGGACTATGCATTTTCCTTGAAATAATAATACGTATTAATATAACTTTCTGGTCGCATGCGAAAAATTATTTTAATCGACAATGCTTCTACATGTTCCATTTCAATCGTCAATTGCAGAAAATGAGAGAATAAACTGTACGATATTTCCAATTACGGGCAAAATATGGTAAAAAGGAGATGCAAAATATAACAAAAGATATGTATATTTCCGAATTCGACCTATTTTATTTATTAATCGTGAAAGGTAGGAGGATGGAGTGTCGTATGATAATGGCAAGCACCATAGGGCAGTGATTCTCAACCTAAGGTACGTAACAGTGGCACATTTAAATATTATCATGTGGTAAACAAACTGAATCAAATTCCGTCATATTTGGGTATTACAGCTAGTGTGTTAGGCTATGATTAATATACATAACCTATAAAATGGTACGTAATTTGATTACATGTTAGATGGAACACGAAAAAATTGTGAACCACTGCCATAGGGCATTTCTAATGTTACTTATTAGTAATATCATACACTGTTACAAAATATTAATTGGAGACTTACAGTTTTGTAAAACATGCAAGCTTGCCTATCTTCGTCTGCGCCCTCAGGGCAGTCTATGAAACCGTCACACAGGACGTGATCGTCGATGCAATGGTATCTGCCCGATGTGTCTGGTATAGGACACGCAAACCTTTCCATACCGTCATCCGAGTTTGGACAGTCTGCAAAAGAAAAATACAAAAATTACAGCCACGTTTTGATTCGGACTATACACTCTAACTATACACAGTTACTAACTACGAGACATTTCCTAATTTCTTCAAATTATTACACTGTAATTCTGGTCATCTGTGATAACCTTTTATTAACGTGCTTATGAATTTTTTATTTTAATGTTTACTCTCATTTTTAAGTCTTTGTACTTATATTTTTGTAATTTAAGATTTTGATAATTTCTCTGATAGATTATTCTTCAGTTGTCTTTAATATATATTAGTTACAAAATGGAGTTCTTACAGTGTAATAATTTGGTAATCCTTTACTAACAAATCTGTTATATTGATATTTGTATAATTCAAGATGCCAGTTGCCCACTATTGTTTTCTTTTAGTACATTTACTAAATTTTTATTTAATTTCACTTTTTATATTTTTTAAAAATATTTCATGTTCAAAACTAGAAGTTGGCCCTGTCTTTTTCTTTGTATTTTAAAAATTGAGTTCTCCAATTTCGGTATTTTATCGATTCGATATTCTTCTCACATCGCGATTTTCCTATTTCTCCCTGCCATCAGCTTCTCGCGTCACCATTTTGTAATTTTTACGTCTGCACCTGTCCCAATACCTCGTTATCCTTTAATATCACCGATTTTCTTCTCCGTCCTACGGACTTCGTTATTTCTCCGCTCTCTTCTCCACACTCCCCTCTATTTCATCCCCGTGTTTTCTCACTTATTTCCATCGCGACCCTATTTTCGTCGTTCGCGCCGGTCTCAACGATGGCTAGGCGTTTCCATTAATTCGCCACTATTTCCGTCGCGGTACGTATAATTTTTCTATCACATTGTTCGCGACATCGATCGCGTACTATTTTTATGCAAAATTGACGCGAATCGCCCCCAAGGTTCACTGGTCGTATTCGCGAAATTTCGCGTCAAAGTTTAGGTTAGGTTTGCGCTAGTTTTGGATTTCATTTAAATTAAGTTCTGATTAGACGTGAATTAGATCTAGGTTAGGTTTTCAAAGGATTTGCGAGACACTTTCGAAGCAATTGCATCGCACTAAATTCTACAATATAGAAGAAACATTATCTCCTTCGAAATTTCCCGCCAATATTTGAATGGAGTTTCCATTACGTTCGGATTAAATTTAAATTAGGTTTGGATTAGGCTTATATTATATTATCGTCAGGTTTGCGAGACATTTTTGAAACCATGATGAGATTCTATAATATAGGAAAAACATCTCGTTTGAAATTTCCTGCCAATATTTGAATTGAGTTTCTATTATGTTCGAATTAGATTTGAGTTAGCTTTGGATTACATTTTCGACAGGTTTCCGAGATATTTTTGAAACTATAGCGAGATTGTATAATGCTGGGAAAACACTATGAACCTAGTTTTCCGTTCTATCGATTCGACGAGCCCTGTTGTCTCGTTTTTTCCCTCTGAAAATGGTCTCGATAAATTCGTCGAACGTTATTTGAATTCGATTCGAATTCGGCTTTGTGGCAATTGTATCTGGCATCCAGGTTCCCGTTTGGAAACCTTTTCGACGAGAAATATGATTACCGATGGATACAGTGGAATTTGCACGATTTTCTCGCGACGATTTTCTCGCGACGATTACGCGAACATCAGTGAAATTGCTTCGTACGTCTGGGGTAAAGCAGCGTTTTATCGAAAGTGAATTTTTCAAATGTATTTATCGTAATTTGATTCGCGTTATTGAGTTTTATATTTCTATCTTAGTTTCAGAGGATGTTAGCTTCGCTACGTAAGAAACTCCTTACACCACGCGTCGTTCGCTCGATTTTTCCCTTTACCCATAGGCATCATCAACTTATTTGCCCGAGATCGATTAGGGTGGAACAACCTTGAATGTGACATCATCTTCGAAACCTCGAGACTCGAGCCAGCAAAAACACAGGCTAGAAAAATATCCTTGGTTCATTAGTTTAAAAAATTCCATTAGCGTTGTGTTTCAACGACGGGTTCGTTATTAATGAATGTGCAAGAATTCACTTTGGATGGTGGAGGAATCGTGGTTAAGAATTTAATCACCCTTCTCTGCTCTCAACCTTGCTTCGTGATTTTCATCATTTTCTACTTTAAACTACTTTTCCTTTTCTTTGTTCTTTCCGTTCGGTACTTTTCCATTTTTTAATCTTCCTCGTTTTTCTTTTTGTCGAACACCTTTGTCCCTTAATTCTTCCATTTCACAATTCTCAGCGTGTCTTGGTATTAAATTTCGGAAAATTCTTGGAAACTATTCGATAAGAATATCATCGAGGCATACGAAATTTCCAAGATTTAATATCTTCAATGTTCCTGCCAATTATTGCATTTTTATAGTTTATTATTTATTATATTACTGTTCTGCATATATAGAAAATGGGGAGTGGTTCACAAATTGTCGAATTTAAATTTCGTGTTTGGAGTCCACTCACGCAGTTTGTTAATTTGGTTAACCCTCTGGCGAGATACAATTAAAATGAGATGAAATAAAGTCTGGATTGCAAAGTAAATTTTTTAAATTTTATGTCGCTTCCTATTCGATCGTGAGATTCGATTTACCATCGTTAATGTAATCTACTATTCACGAAGAGGGCGACAGGGAAAAAGAGATTGTGAGAGAATTAAAGATGGCGGAAGAAGACAGGATTCATTAGATTCTGAAGTATGGAGGACGTTTTCCGGGTCAAGCAGGTGGTGATTTCTCTTTTTTATTTAAATCGTTGTACCGTGGAGGTTCAGTGGAGACAAGGATTATCTCGGAGCCAAAAGGGGCGAGGATAATGCACTCGAAGAGCGATTAAAACTGTAATCCGGAGTTGCTCATCGTTTGCAAACGATGGACGGTCGATGGTTTAGGTTAGGTTTGGGATTTGGCGGCAGTGGGAAGGGCAATGGAGCGGAGGGAACGCAACAGCTGCGCGCCATGTTGCTTCGGATTTTTCTTCTGTTATGGTTGTTGGAAAAGGTTTTTCTTTCGTGAAAAATGCGTATGTCCTGCGAACGTGACGCGGATGGAAGGTTCCTGTGTCTTTTCTTCCATTCAACAACGAGGTTTAACTTTTCACGGAAATTACCGATTATAAACATCGATAACATAAAAATGTTAAATAATAAGGAGATTATAAAAATTGATAAATAAGACCAGGAAGATTATACTCGTGACTAATTTTCGATTTTAAAAATATAATAAATTTCCTAAATGTGGATGAAATTATGGAACGTTACTCCAGTGTAGCATTCATTTTGCATATTTTGCGCGGTGCACATTTTTGGCATAAATTTATGTTAATCGGTTAAAATGTTATCTTTGTAAATTCGGAAATAGCGAATAAAAGATTAATATATGTTTAATGATATACGTTTCAGATATACATTTCATTTTCGACGATATATAGGTCGTACGTGAATTTCAAACTGTATTACAAGGGAACGAGTAACTTGATACGGTATCTAAAAATTAATGACATTTTAAAAGTTGTAAATGTCAGAGAGACACGGGGAATTTGAACACAGTATTATTGCAAATTTAATCGTTATGTGATACAGAAAAATCGTGGATTTAGTAAAAAAATAACTGCTGTAACATAGTGTAGTTTAAATTACGAGAAAATTTTTCTGCTCGTATCTTGCATATTTCAACATAGGTGAAGTAGAAAGAAATCCATTATTTTTGCATGAAATTGAATGTAATCTAATGTAATGAAAGACGAAGTAAGTTAACAATGTTGGCCACCATCTGAATATTCCAGTATTTGCATTTATAAAAAGAAATTCATTATTTTTGCATTCAATTTCACGCAAAAATAATAGATTTCTTTTTACTTCACCTAATATTTCATCTGTCTATTTGAAATAATCATAGTAATTTCCATTGCTTTCTTTTATTTTATATTCTTTATTTTACGTGACAAAATAAACGAGATTAAATAATTTAACTCGAATTTAAACACTCGTGTATGATGTAGAGATACCAATGGATCGTTACAGCAGCTTTTTATCAATCAATTTTATAAAAATTCCGTGGGAAATTTGTCGTTCTGCATTATTTATGAACGAAACGCACGTGTTCAAAATGGAGTAATAATTTATGAAGGAGGAGAACGCATATTCCGTACCTCACGTTCGTTTATTTATCATTTGCGTGTCATCGCAGAATAACAATTATCTCGTTCCATATATCGTAAACATTTCCATCGTCGAGCAATATTTTCATCGTAACGGGACAGAAATTTTCTTATTTAACAAAATACGATTATTTCGTTCTCAAACATCTTGCCATTTAATTAAAAGCATCTGTATTACTGAACATACAGCATGACTCACCATGGAAAGAGAAGAAATGAAAGAAAAATATCCTCTCGTTCCAAAGAAAAAATAAACACCAATAATTACACTGGTAATTATGTGAGTCTAATTCAAAAATCTAAAAAAAGGAAATTTTGTAAGTGTTTCGTTTCATATCCATTTTATGTGAGTCTAATTCAAAAATCTAAAAAGAGGAAATTTTGTAAGTGTTTCGTCTCATATCCATTTACATTAAGTCGATGTAAAGCTACTTTTCCAAATTACCAATTAAATTTGAAAAAAAATTATTCTAATTTGCTCGAGTTCAAAATTTGTAATTCTTCAAAGCGAAACGTGAAGCCGTTAAGTCATTTTGATCATCGACGCAATTATTGAATATAAATCACAGAATTCCAATATTCCTATCGAATGGAAAATTGCCTTTAAAGGGTATTTGCAACTACCCCGCTGTTGCCCACGATAATTGTATTTTAACACCGTTATGGAACAACCAATAAAAGCCAACGATGGAATCGCTGTTATCGACCAAAAAAAAAGCAAAGCAAAAAAGGAAGAATGTAAAAAAAGGAATAAAAAGTAAATTAAAAAAAAAAGAGCGACGGAAAAATGAGAAACAAGGTCTTCAAACTTTCCACGCTGGTGATCCGTGAATCACGCGTGTACATACACGCGAGGACGAGA